ATTTTAACTGACTTTAATTGTATTTTAAGTTTATACTTTTTTAAAAGCAAAATACTGGCCTGAAGATTAGCTTCTTTGTTCATGGTATTGGGAGTTATGTAACTTTGACAGATCACTTAAAATCTCAACAGCAGTTTGTTTAAAAAGTCTTCTGATTGCCAGGCATGGTGGCGCACATCTGTAATCCCACCACTTGGGAGGCTAAGGCAGGATGATTGCATGAGTTCAAGCCAGCCTGGGTTACACAGTGAGTTCAAGGTCAGTCTGAACTATATAGCAAGAGAAAAACAACAACAAAAAAAATCAAAAGTCTTCTGGTTATGCGTGTCTATAAGTTTAAAACTAATCTATCAGCAGTGTATATGAGCTAATGAGATCGTGAAGAACTCTGGGAGCATATATACATTATGATCAAACCACAGAATTATGTCTTTGAGACTAAAGACAGGGGTTTGCAGATTAACTCAGTTGTTTAAAGCACCTGCTTGGGCAGACTTAGTCAGGTGTATGGGACCACAGTTTGATCTTCTGCTCCACATGCAGCACCAGATGCTCCCTAAGGCAGCCTGAACCAGCCAAAAAACAAAGATTGAAGACATCGTTACAATGAGGGAGACAGATCCTTCATTTTAGAGATGAGGAAATTAAAAGCTATATAATAATAATTCATTATTCAATTTGGCTATTATGATCATGCATACTATAGAGTTTAAGGTGGCAGAAGTACATAATCCTCTAGAACATCTAACTTTGCTTTAAATTTTAAGATAATGTGTGTGTGTGTTAATCTTCTAATAGGAATTTTATATGCTTTAACATTGCAATACTGCTAATAAGCAAAACCACCACAAATTACCTTAGTTTATTAGGTAAAGATAAATAGAATAGAAAAATTAATTGCAGGTTACTCATATGGTAGACTGCTAGGGGACAGAGGAGAGCGCAAAGATGCCTCCATGGGCATTAACACTGGTGAACCCAAAAAGCAAACAAGTCACCAAATAACACTCTGATTCAATGTCAGGAGGCAAGAGTATTACGTAAAGATTTAATCTAACAGGAAATAATTTATTTTTAAAGCAAAAGAATGTTAAAGAGAAAATCCAAATGGCTTTTATCTTAAGGGGCAATGTTTTCTTAAATTGA